AATAATTAAGACGAGACTAAAGAAGAAAAATAAAAAATAAAAATTTAGCATGCATAAAAATTTGATATAAATCAATACAACAATGAAGTATGTACAAGTATGTACCCAATGATACCACCACCTCCAATACCAGCGATTGCACGGAATATTATCATCGATATCTAAAAAGTAAAAAGGTGATGAGTATTCAAATTAAGAAAATGAAAAATAAAAGATAAGGTATATTACCATATTGGTGGCAATACCACATAACAAACTGCCTAATTCAAAGATGGTAATTGCAACTAGGAATGTTGCTTTACGACCAAAAATATCAGATAATTTTCCATAGATTGGTTGAAAGGAAGTCTGTGTCGATAAGATGATTCACGTGAGTATCACATGATATATAATTCGAACAAAGTGGATCAATGTATAATATTATTACCGTTGTGAGTAGATAAGAAGTTGCAACCCACGCTATTTGATCTAATCCATTAAAATCTGAAACTATTTTAGGTAAAGCTGTGGAAACAATTGTTTGATCTAATGCGGCTAAAAATACAGCACATCCTAGTCTATAATATGGTAAGTAAAACTAAATTAATAAGTTGATCATATAATGAGAACAGCAGGAAATTAATCTCTACGAACCCAAAAACAACTAAATATAATTCAATTCCATGTAATAAAGTATCGTTAGACGATGATGAGCTATTGTCTTTAACAATCTGATCATCGAAATTTTTTATAGTTTTTATGGTTACAGTTGCATCGGACACTAACGTAGCTTGACGCTCAATGTCTATTTCATCATGTGATGTGGGTTGATTTTGTAACATTTTATTTTTCGTAACTGCTAATTATTATGTATATATGCTATGTGTGCGTTGTATGCTTTGTATAGTTGTATGATATGCTATAATATTAAATTATTTTTAATATTAATTTTTTTTTGTAGAAATTAAATGGTAAACTTAATTGACGAAAATTTACAAAGATTAAGTGGAAAAAAGAATCTACAAGATAATTTACAAGTCGGAAATTCTCTAAAGTCTACATCGCTCGAAATCTCCGTCTTTTATAATTTTTCTTTTAGATAAAAAGTATAATGAATGAGACATTAATATACTGCATGGATAAAATTCATTTATAATATGCAATGCAAAATGACGTTCCTATAGATAATCTGAATTTGTTATTCCACGCAAAACATAGGTGGTTCCTGTTAAATGTTTTTCCACAATAAAATTTTTAATTTCATCGGTAAATTGTTGTGCCGAAACAGAAAAGATCATCAAAATACTTGGCATTCGCAACAACATAGTTTAACTTATAAGGCAACGGTAATTAAACTGGTTTATTCCGTGTTCCTTGATTGGAAAACAAATCTATAATAAGATTTAACCGGTTCTTCGACCTTATCCTTTATTGACTATAATATGCGGATGATGATTTGATTTGAGTAAGCTTGGTTTGATGTGTAAAATTATTGATTTATATCAAATTTTTATGCATGCTAAATTTTTATTTTTTATTTTTCTTCTTTAGTCTCGTCTTAATTATT